AATAGGGTTTTACTAGGTTAAAATTCACAATGCACAAAAGGGCATTAATCAAAGGGGCTTCAGGAAGATTTTGTGGGCCTACTCAATGGAGGCTACTCAAAGGAGTGCTTGTAAAAGCTATCTAGTTCAATTCAACTAACATTTATTTCCTTTAGGGTGAAGATGCATGCAAAGCCAAGTTTCAGTCTTTGAAAATAATATAATGATAGTGTGGGGAAACAGTTCTAAATAACTCATCTATACGACTCTGATGATCCTTAATTGAACCTGGCAGCAAAGCCTTTCATTCCATCAGGGAGAAACTGAGAAGGTTCAGGGTTCACGTGAGGTGGCTTTTGAGCTGGGTCTTGGAAAATAGTAAGAAAGGTTCCAAACAGTCAACATATTGGGACAACACAAACTTAAAATTGGTGACGTAAAGACTGAAAAGGGAAACCCCAATGATGGGAGTAACATTTCAGACTAAAGGGCTTACCAACAAAAAAATCCCCGGGGCCAGATGGCTTCACAGGAGAATTCTACCAAGCATTCAAGGAAGAACTGCCTGCAATCCTACACAAACTCTTCCAGAACACAGAAAAAGATGGAAAACTCCCAAACTCTTTCTATGAAGCTAGCGTAACTTTGATACCTAAAGTGGGCCAAGATGCCACAAGAATCGAGAACTATAGACCAATATCCCTAATGAACATTGATGCAAAAATACTTAACAAAATACTGGCCAATAGAATACAAAAGCATATTAAAAAAAATAATTCACCATGACCAAGTGGGATTCATACCAGGGATGCAGGGATGATTCAACATGCGAAAGACCATCAGCATTATTCTCCACATTGGCAGGAAAAATTATAAGAATCACATGATAATATCGATAGACGCGGAAAAAGCATTCGACAACCTCCAACATGCATTCCTGTTTCAGACACTCAAGAAGATGGGACTAGAAGGAAAATCCTCAATATTATGCAAGCCATATATGAAAAACCAACAGCCAACGTGGTAGTTAATGGAGAAAAGACGAAAACAATTCCACTGCAAAAGGGGACCAGACAAGGATGCCCCTTGTCCCCACTCCTATTTAACATCATGCTGGGGGTCCTAGCTAACAACATAAGACAAAGGAAAGATATTAAAGGTATTCATCTGGGTAAGGAAGAGGCGAAATTATCATTATCCGCAGACGATATGATTCTATATATCGAAGAGCCCTTAAACTCCACGAGTGGAGTGTTGGAAGCAATAGAGGAATATGGCAGAGTGGCAGGATGCAAGATCAACAAACAGAAGTCTATTGGACTGCTCTACACATCAGACAAGGTCACAAAAGAGACGATTAGAAAGGTAGTACCCTTTACAACAGCTTTTTTTTACATTGCCACTTACTGCATTGAGAATTACATTATTATATGATCTATCCCATTTTTAATTCAGTTACCATTGTACCGGCACTGGCTATTGAAATTAAAAAAGTAAAATTATAGAATTGAAGACATGCTTTGATTCTTATTGCAAGAGTGCTGACGGAATTCTGAGGTCAGGAAAAGACGGTAGCTTTTTAGAAGGATGTCTGTCAGAATTAAAGGTAATTGTGCTCATGGGTAAACGGCACATTATTTTAAGGGTAAAATGATCATTTAGGGTGCCGCTCTAGAAACCCCCGCTTGTCATTTCGCCTTATAATAAATACCACAATGTGAGACGGAGGCCAAAGCTTAGAGCAGACTTTCCTCAAAGACTGAAGTCCCTGTTTTGCTGATACTGCACACTTTCCCCTAAAGAGATTAGCAGTGTAATCCCAAATATTATGGGACCGGTGCAATCTTAGTTTTGAGCTCATCAGATTCAACATGCTGCACATAATCCCTAACAGCTTTATTCAGTGCTTCTGTAAGCTGGTGAGGGCGTCCTATCGACCATGACGACCACCCTTCCTGTGCCCAGAGACACCACTCTCTCTCCAGACTGAGAAAGTACTAAACATAGACACTGTGATTTTTAAACCCCATTTTATCATGTTCCCTCATATTGAACTGTGTTTTCTACAAACGGCCATTCATAACCATTGTCTGACGGCTCATTGATAACATGTGAGTAGATATGGTTAGGGCCATCCCAAGGCAAGCTGCTGCTTATACGTAACTTTGTTCCAAGTGCAGTTTTATGTGATCAGGGGGAATGGATACATAGGGAGAAAGGGTTTTCTGTGGTCATTTGTGTAGAGGTTTGAATTCCTCCTAAGGAGGAGAGGTATTTTAGAGGAAACATACAAGAAGAATAAGCATGGCTAATATCTATGCATTGTGTAGTAGAGGACCCATGGGGAAAGTTAGGAAAGTATCTTTCCCATCATCAAATGCTGTGAGGGAGCCCATCCCTGGCCTTTGGGACTCAGGACCACCGTCTCAGTGGACATCAAGGTCAAGAAGCACAGCAATCCACAAAGACAACTCTCTCTACCCTATCTTGGTGAGTAGTGACTGGGTCTCAAAAGCTGTGAATAGTGCTATCTACAGAATAACGGTGGAGCTCTCCTTGAGAGCAAAATGAGTGAAGAACAGCCAAGAAGCAATTAGTCCCAAGGACTAAGGTACCATACACACCTTAGGCCCCACAACCTTAAGGCTACCTGGCGTGTATTACCTATTGCTCTAATTCAGTGGTTCTCAACCTGTGGGTCACGACCCCTTTTGGGGAGGATTGATGACCCTTTCACAGGGGTTGCCTAAGACCATCGTAAAACACATATTTCCAATGGTCCTAGGAACCAAGACACTGTTCCTCTATCCGTCTCCAGGCGGGTCTGCCCACATGCAGATTCGCTCTCATACGAATACCAGGCGTGAAGACTGTTTGTTACCCATGCTACACCATGCTTCAAGAGAAAATTTCAATGATTTGTCATTAGAAATAAATATTTTGCAATATACAATTACATATTGTTTTTGTGATTAACCACTATGCTTTAATGATGTTCAATTTGTAACAATGCAAATACATCCTGCATAACAGATATTTACATGACGATTCACATCAGTAGCGAAATGACCGTTATGAAGTAGCAGCGACAATAATTTTATGAAAAGAGTTAATTTTGTGGTTGGGGTTCCCCACAACGTGAGGAACTGTATTAAAGGGTCAAGGCATTAGGAAGGTTGAGAACCACTGCTCTAATTGGTATCACAATAGGAGGTCCTGGATAGAGTGGGAGTAGAGTGTGGAACAAAACTCAAAAGTTATTTAAAGGACCCGCCTTACTGGTCTGATTAAGATATGGGATTATGCCCCTGAGACACCCTTCGGACCTGTAAAGAACCTCACCCCTTGGCTCAACTTTCAGCAAAACAGGAGACAAATCTGTAAGGTGAACAGTAGCAAAACCGGAGAGAAACACACCCCTCCCAACAATCGACCTCAGAGGGTGGGATGGAGACCATTAACAGAAGGACACTCGGACAGGCTGCAAGGGCAGGAAAGAAGGACAAAGGGAACCGGAAGCCCAGGGAAGAAGTGGGGAGGGCTGTTGCATTGTGGGGACTGTAATCAGTGTCATAAAACGGAGTCTGCAAGAATTGTTGAACAGAAAACTAGTTTGATTTGTAAACTTTCCCCCAAACCACAGTGAAAAGAAGCCAAACAAAACAAGCAAATGTGGGTGAGACACAAATTGCTAAGCACAGCGCTGAGAGTCCTACTTCCGCACTGAAAGTCTAAACTCAAATTTAGGATCTTTAAACAAATTATTGAAATTTAAGAGGGAAAAAAGCCAGTATCTGTTTCTCATTGGAAGCTTTAAACACACGTTTTTTTCATATCATTTATTTTAAAAAATAAGTTTTGTGCGTCTGTGTGTGCAAAAACCCCTAAAACCTAATACTGTATTTGATGTAATTTTACAGAGAAGGTAGAAGGTAACTGTGTTTTCTTTTTTCTTAACACAAAATCAGGGGGGAAAGAAACACTGCTGGTCACCTGAGAGTACCTGCCAGTGGTCATTCAGAACCAAAGAGGATTAAGACATGGGCACTAATATGTCCATTGTTATTAATTTCCAAATAACAATAGCAACGATATCCTGAGTGAATCTGGTAGCAGTGAGGATGAATTATTGTTTAAAGACTCCATTGGTGTCAGAGCCACAATCTGCTCTCAATGGCTTACTTTGTCGATAGTCTTTAAGAACTTCATATGCTGCAATAGATGAATAACTATTTAGAGGAGACATCTATTACTTCCTGAAAAAGCAACACTGGAAAGTTCTAATTATTGTGGAGATACAGAATTCTGATTTTATATAGTATGTAAATAGTTGTAGTTTGATTGAAAACAGTTGTTACCTTTATGGTTCAAAATGAAAATATTTCTATCCATGTACATTTTTATGATTTTTCACTGCTCTACAGCAGAGAAATGATACTAGTTTAGCATTTTATTACTTAAAAACTGTCTATCCTATTGAACAAGTTGTGTTTATAAAACTGCTATTAACTTATTAAAAAATGAGATGAAAAAATCAATCATAATCATGTCATTGTTCATGTTCATTCAACCAGACTAGTTTTTTGAAAATATATTTCTTTCTTATGAGAAAATGTTTGCCAAAACATATTGATAAGCTAAGTGGATTGAAAAAATTAGGACAGTAAAATGACTATAACTATTGTCAATCATTAAAATCAAAACTACAAAACTGCAACAGGGATGTTCATATTGTCATTGCTGTAATACACCAGATGATTGCCTTCATTTAATCTCAAATTTATGCATATGATAATTCACCTCAGGATATGCTAGTATTTATATTGAAATAGGTTCTCCAGTGTAAAATTACGACGAGGTGGCTTGTTCATTACATACATCTGCAAGTCAGAATACATCGTATTGTCCCCATACTTAGCTATCAGTTTATTTTGCTGAGAGTTTGTAAACACTCGCTTTCTGGCCGGGAGGGTAGCTAACCAGGCTACACGTCCCAAGAGACAAGAAAATGTAAAACTCACCTGTGGCGTCAGCTTTAGCTTTGAGCTCGTTCTCACACATTTTGACGTAGCAATTAAAAGTCCTACTGAAAAATAGGACTCTTTTCACTGGAGGACAGACGACTACCCTGTGTTATTCCACAGCTAGAATCCCAACAGACTGCATTAATGAGATTACATGAAAGACGAGTTAAAGGCATCAACCATTCCATTTCATTAAGTGAGGGTGAAAGGCTGCTCAGGCAAAGAAGCGGGAGGGAATTTGTTTCTGCCTTTGGATACGACATAGCCACTAAACAATGCAGCATCTGCTAAAATGCGAGGAAACATTTTAAAGACATTTTTCCTTCAATCATATAGATGCATACACATTGTGCACTTAAATTCCCTTTTTTTTTCCCATCCCCTTGGTAAAAAGAGATCCAGTGTTTCCATGCCATGCAACAAAGGCTCTTCTGGTGGTGATAAATGATATAATGAAGTAATGATAGCTTGATATGAAAGGAATCAGTCCTACATCAGCAGCAAACTAACTCCCTGCCGTCGAGTAGATGCCGACTCACAGTGGGTCTTAAAATGAGTTTCCCGCACTGGCAAGATCAGCAGTACTGTGTCCGAATGTGTTAGAAAGGCGGATCCCCAGGTACTGTTTTCCCTCGACCTGAATCGGAACCTCTAGGTCTGACTGCTCTCCAGGTGTAGAGCATGCGCCACCGCTTTACAGCATCCACTTCCCACCCAGAAGGAGCAGCTTTAACGGTTAACTCTGTCACCACAAGTTGTGTGCTTCTAAGCAAGTTCTATCATCTTTCAATATTTACATGCCATCATCTGTAAAATGGCAATAATTCCACCTGCCTGATAGAAGAGTGGACAGATGTACCAAGAAATTGAAAATAGCAAAAACAAAACCAAACAACGACAACAAAAAAACAAATTTCATTGAGTTGATTCCAATCTGTGGTGACCCCATAAATATTGTACAATAATCAGTACAGTCTAGCCCTCCATTACCAACCACCATTTTAATATAATCTTAGTAGAGAATGGCAAGTGTTCTGTACTTTCAATATGTCTCCTCCTTTTCACAACGCATCTCTGAAGACTTGACTATACATTAAAAGCCCTGGGCAGCTTTTTGAAGCTATCTGGCTCCCAAGACTTATTCCAGACTAATTCAGTAAGCATTTGGGAGAGACTAGACCAAATATTTTTATTTTACAGATATTCTCAGATGATTCTCAGGCCTAGTATAATATATTGTTATAATACTGTATACTCCATATTTCCAACAGAAAGAGGTCTGAGATTCAATAGTGGTAAAAATGAACCATTCGAAATGCCAGGGCTAGTTCTGCATTATCTCTGCCATCCTGTCCACTGCAGTGGCTGGGACCAGCAGTAGACTATTAAAACTGTGGACTCGGGAGCAGGGATGCTCAATCTCGACATTATGGGCATTTAGACTGGATCATTATTTGCTGTATGGAGCTGCTGCATGCATTGCAAACGTCCTTGGCTTCTGTGACCAGGAATCAGTGCTGCTCTGAAAATGTGAAAAAGAAATAAGTTCTCAAATATTGCCAAAAAATATCCTGAGAAACAAAATCATCGCCAGTTGGCAAGGACTTTCTTCTCCTGTAAAAGGAGCCCTGGTGGTCTAGTGGTCACACATTGGGCTGTGATCTGCATGGTCGGCAGTTCAAAACCACCAGCACCTTTGCGGGACAATGACTGGGCTTTCTACTCCTGTAAACAGTTACACTTTTGGGGAGTGTTTACAGGGGTGTCATTATGAGTAAACATTGACCCAAGGGCAGTGAAAGAAAAAGGCTTTAAGTAGCAGTGGTTTTTCCATTCATGAATTTACCCATGTAGTAAATTTAGTCATATTGACTAATTACTCAGACATA